CGGTTGGTGGCCAGAAAACATGCTCCAAACGTGCTGGACACTCTGGTCATTTGCATGCCGGCCATAGTTCGTAGATGCAAACTTCTCGTTCCAAATAGCATAACAAAGTGTAACTCTGTTCTCATCCCCTTCTCCCCACCGCAGGCTGTTATAGCGAGTTCGCTCATTCTGGCAGCTTGGAATGCTCGTACTCTTTTAGGCAGTCCACTGACAAACCAGCCGTAGAGGAGGACGTCGCTCATTGCTTGGAGCTGCCAAGTCACAAAGTCCAAGTCGCCGAGTTCAGTGACAGCTGACTGTTCGAACAAGGTCAGCTGGGGCGGACAGGTGTCCGTCACACCCGCAATTTCGTTCAGTTTATTTAATTTGCAGAGGATTTTGCTTGACAACTGTGAACTACCCGATAGTTACAAGACACGGAGATATATGAGAAAGACAGAAAAGGAAGCGTAAAGCGAGCACAAAAGATATTTAAATTTGAAAGAAAAACGTCTCGTGCGCACACTGCATGTGGGCGTGGGGTGTTGCTGTAGGCTGCCAATTGCTGGGTCTGATCGTCGTGTTGCCTGCGCAAAGTGGGCCCGGCAGTGGTCTTGTGTTGGGTGGTCTGCATTTGTGATGCCTCCTGTGTGAGCCGGCGTGAACCAAACAGTCTGTGGTGTTGTGGTAGACGTAAACTGGAGAAGAACGCTCAGTCACTCAAAAGATGTGTGACAACAACGAGCACTAGATTCAGTCGCAAGCAAAATGTACTTATAAAAGGAGTGCCCGAATCAACGGCAACAATTCCAAAGGAGAGAGTTATGCATGACTTAGACCTTCTTCAAGTGTATGCGAAAGCTTTGTTAAGAGACGATGAGTCACTTTGTGTTCTCAAAGCATTCCGAATAGAGAAGAGTCAGTCAGCATCCGGTTCCAATTCCCGGCCTCGACCCCTAAAAGTCATTTTGTAGACTGAAGCACAGGCCCAGCTCATGTTACAGAGAAAATCATCTCTGCGGGGTCAGCAACCTGAAGTTTTTTTCAGCCGGATTACGAGCCAAAAGAGCGAATGAAAATGAGAGAGCTGATGACAGAGCTGGAACAGCGGAGAAGCAGCGGCAAAACACACCTACAAATGAAAAACGGACAAAAGGACATTTATCTGGCCGAAGACCGTTATTCTGACAGCCCAACCAATGCAAAGGTGCCAACTTCTGAGGAGTCTAGCACTAGTGGCCGCTGTCTAGAAATATACTACATTGACTGTCAGAGTCTTCTCAACAAGTTAGATGAACTCAGATTACTAGTCTCTGAACAGAAGCCACACATAATTGTCCTAACAGAGACATGGTTGACTGAGGAAACAAGTAGTAGCGAAGTCAGTATTGAAGGCTACCAACCGTTCTTTTGTGACAGACTTCAACGTAGAGGAGGTGGCACAGCGATTTATGTGTCAAATGAAATTCCGTGCTGTCAGCGAGAAATATCCGATGGGGCGCCGCGAAGTTTTGAAATAATTTCATGCAAGATATGTATCAAACAATTACCGACACTGAGCCTGTGTGTTGTTTATCGACCTCCCAGCTCGAATGAAATCGCCGATATGGAATTACTTAGTGCACTGGAGTTGTTATGTAAGCAGGAGAACTTACTACTTCTGGGTGACTTCAACGCTCCAGGAATAGACTGGAACATTCCCCTAACAAACGCCCCGTCCACGTCATTTGACCACAAGTCTCCCTGAATAAATACCTCATTCAACACATAAAATTAGGAACAAGAATGAGAGAAGGACAACGATCTAACTGTTCAGATCCCGTTTTCAGTAAAGAAGAAGGACTCATGAAGGAAGTGAATCCACAACCTCCACTAGGTTTAAGCGATCATATTGCTTTTACCTGCGTGTGCTCTCTCCTATCCAACCAACAACTAAAAATCAAGAGGCGCAAAAATATTTGGAAGGGTGACTTTAACGCAATGAGACGCACTCTTTTAGAGGAAACCTGGTTGGTCAACACAGAAGATTCAGACGAATTCTGGCAGTACGTTCGCAGGATTATAGAGCGTCTGATTGATTCCCATTGTCCAATAAAAATGACAAGACCATGTATGCGACCGCCGTGGGTCAATCCGACGACAAAAAAGACTATGAAGAAGAAACAGAGACTCTGGTAAAAGTATTTACAACTTCGAGATCCAAGGTCATCCACCGAATATAAGGATCAGCGCAATAAATGCCGCTAACAAATAGGCGTTGCTAGAACTTCTTTCGAGTGCCGACGGATAGCAGAATCCATTACATATCCCAAGAAGTTTTACGGGTACATCCGCAGTTGGAGGAAACATAGGGACAAAATTGCCTGTCTAATAGATAGCCTCGGAAACTTATTAGTTGAACGGCCACAGAAAATGCAGTTACAGTCTCAGTTTTTCAATCGGTTTTTACGGAGAAGTCCTCCGAAGACAATCAGGAGTTTGAAATGGACCGAGGTAACCGGCAGCTTCAATTGCGCCAAGAGACTGTCGTCAGTGAATCCGTTGCCTTTTCCGTCGAAGAATTAAAGTGCGTCCTCAGTCAGATAAAACCAAATAAGTCTCCTGTACCCGACGGAATTCCCGGACTAGTACTTAAGGAGCTATCAACGGAGCTGTCAAAGCCTCTTTCGACTCTCTTTGGGTTGTCAATGAGAACAGGAAGGCTGCCATCACAGAGGAAGATAGCAAACCTAGTTCCCTTACATAAGGGAGGTAGCAGGATGACAGCAAGCAGCTTCAGGCCAAGTAGCTTAACTTGCCACCCATGCAAAACGATGGAAACTCTAGTAAAGAACGCTATACAGCAATATTGTGAAGAAAATAACATCTTGCAAGATTTTCAACATGGCTTCCGGAGAGGACGTTCCTGCCTCTCAAATCTGCTAGCTCGTCTGGAGCTCTTGACCAGGGCTCTAAAAGAGGGCTTTGAGGTCGATGTCGTGTACATCGATTTCCGCAAAGCTTTTGTCACTGTCCCGCACCAACGTCTTCTTCACAAATTGAGCGCCATCGGCATCCGGGGAGATCTTCTGAACTGGATAAAGGCGTTTGTGTTTGGTCGGAAACAACGTGTCTGTATCGGGGATGATAGGTCAGAGTGGGTGGACGTGATCAGTGGTGTGCCGCAAGGCTCAGTTCTGGGACCATTGCTCTTCATCCTTTATGTTAACGACAGCCTTCAGGAACTCGACTGCGGCAAAATAATGTTTGCAGACGATGTTAAGCTCTGGCAAGTCATTAAGGGTCCGAATGATCAGAGATCCCTTCAAGATTATCTGCATCGACTGCAAGCGTGGTCGAAGAAATGGCTTCTAGATTTCAATATGGAGAAGTGTGCCGTCCTTCATCTGCGTCCAACCAACTCTCATTCAAATGAGAGCCTGAGGGCATATCACCTGAAAGATATAAGGCTCCCCGCAGAATCTTCACAGAAGGATCTCGGGGTTTGGATACAGAACAACCTGAAACCAACACTGCAGTGCCACAAGGCTGCAAAAAAACGCCATGGGAGTGCTGCATGCAATCAAAAGGGCCTTCGTAAACTTTGACCAAGACCTTTTTTGGAGAGTTTTCGGCACTTTTGTTCGGCCACACTTAGAATATGGCCTACAAGCATGGCGGCCATGGCTAGTAAAGGACCAAGAATGCCTCGAACGAGTACAACGGCGTGCAACAAAGCTGGTAAACGGTCTAAAAATCCAATCCTACACAGACAGACTGAATTGCCTTAATTTATTCCCTCTGTGTTACAGGCAGCAAAGAGGTGATCTTATCCTCGTCTACAAGATAAAAGATAGATAATTTTTAGATAGATAATTTTTATTAAAGACCCGTCGTGGTCCCAGCAAAGCAAGTTAAAATAACTTTACATGCGAGTTTTAGACGAGGTAGGCAGAATCTTTACAAAATGCAATTCATAGTTTCTGAACTAGTAGTCCATTAATAAATGGCCTTGAGCATGGACTTAAATTTGAGGACATGTTTCAGTGGCACCTTTCACCCAATCTTCGTGGTCACTCGATGAAATTACGGACAACAATGTCCAGGCTGAATCTCCGTTCTGAATTTTTCACGCAGAGGGAAGTGGAGAAATGTAACGATCTCCCTCAGTCAGTCGTGGAGGCTACGTCTCTGCCACTCTTTAAGAAACTCTTGGATGATTATTTGTGTCCCCTGTTTTCCCTCGACAGTCTGAATCTGAACTAAGACCCAACGTCCCCACAAATGTTTTCTCTGAGACAATGCTACTCAGATGAATCAAGTACTGTTATACCAGCGAATATTTTTTTGTTCGTGTACAGTTATTTCTAACGAGCTGACGTGTAATCAATAGGGGTTTCAAAGGCTTTGCCTATTATCCTTGCCAAATAAACTGAAAAATAAACTGAACTGCTCCAGTGTTATCCGCAATGGCAAGTACATGAATGTATGTAAGAAGTGGTTGAATTCTTCGAGGACAGTATAATTTTTATTTCGTAAGATTTTGAGGCTGGTCTCTTCAACCGATTGTCAGGTTATGGGTGGTGAACGAAAATAATTGACTAAGTGATTCTGACTAGCAGACTATTCTACGGTTGGCCGACGTCTGCATCCATACTCATTAAGTTTAAGTTCGTTTGAATTGTATCCTTGAGATTTATTAATGTGCCATCTAAATCGACATTCAAAGAGGTACATTTGGTATAGGGACGCTCACCGATCATTTCTACGGAACTCATTTCTCCGCAGCTCATTTCTATCATCTCCAGGAATTCATGATGTTTCCTTATTGGGCAAGTACCGACAATGCGACTGCTTTGCCAAACAAATCTGCGTCCAGTGTACAGTGTGTGCATGACCATGCAGGATACTAACAATTTTATTTTTTAACATCCAGAAGGCGTTACATATGGGTTAAATAAAGATGGCGTAGACAGCAATGGTCTGCGAGAACCGCCAGGTATATGTTGAAATTTATAAAATGTGCCATGTAAAATAGACAATGATTTCCACGAATGTGCGTGATGTGTCCCTTTTCATGTAATACTTTTTATAACAATAACCACAAAGTCTTAGTTGGAAGTTACTTTATAAAAAAATTGTGAGCTACTAAAGATAAAGAAATAAGATAATTTTATTAAAAACTCATCGGGATCCTCTCATAGCAAAAAAATGAATTGTCATGTGAATTTTGGAAGAGGTAGACAGAACCTGTACAATATGCAATACATAGTTATCGAATAAGTAGTCCGTTAAGAAAAATTATGAGCGAGCAGGGAAAAACTCCATTATAAAATGAAAAAAATTATTAGATCAGCTATAAAGGAGGAGAAACTGTCGCGCACGAAAGGATAAATATGCGGTTAGGACCAGCCTGTATGTGGCCGTGTATAACAAATTATAAACGCACATCGTCAGGGCAGAAATAAATTTCAACCATGAAGGGTAAGTATGCGAGTCAGAAAGGACTGGCCTGCATGCGGCATCGTATAGAGAATTCAAAACGGACATTGTCAGGGTAGAATCAATACACCGGATGACGCTATTCGCGTCAAAGTGGCGAGACGAGAGAAACCCAGACACGGTCGGTCACAGTCCGCTTCGAGCAAGTCGAGGAGGGGCGAGGGAGATACGACCAAACTACTAGTAGGCGGCGAATACAGAGGATTCCGCCGTGAGCGTCGACAGATCGCTTGAGGTCGAATTAAGAAGATAACATCAAGAACGGCAAAAATCGTTGCTATGGAGGGAGGAGCGATAGCAGTGGATTTAGTGACCAATTAACAACGGGGGGTTGTAAAGATGCAAGTGAGAATTTCCACTTGATTTACCGTTAAATTCTAGGACCACGCGCGTCCCCTGAGGAAATGGTTGCTGTAGTAGTACCAGCATTGAGCTAATTATTGTCACTTACCGTATGCAGTTTAAATACAGGCTCTGACCGTGTAGTCATACTGACATTACAAATAGTCGAATTGACTTGCACGACTGTTTACACCGTTTGCCGTAGCAGTGGCCAGCAGTTGCCGCAGCGAATCGTAGTGTTGCGACATTAAAAATAAAGGCCTACTGGTTACTTTCAGTAGGCATGTTTGTTTAAAATACTGCCGTCTGTTGCTTTTTCCCTTTGCATGCGCGTGCGTCGTGTCTTTCGGGGTATTGCTTGTGCTATTGGTGATACAATCACTCACCGCAATTTCTATTAGTATTATTCGTTGCAGAGGTGGCTGCCCCACTACGTGTCTATGTACGGTATTGGAAGTAACTTTCTGCGGTTCGAATTAAGCGCATTGAAAACAGTTGCATAGTCATTGACGTTAATGGTACTAGCAGTATTTCAGTCAGCGTTACTATACCATAAAAGTTAGTAATGTAGTCGTGGTCATGTCAGTGGTAGTATTCGAAGAAGTAGTAGTAGCAGCAGTAGTAGTAGTAGAAGTAGTAGCAGCAGCAGTAGTAGTAGTAGTGGTGGTAGTATAAGTAGTAGTAGTAATGGTAGTAGTAGTAGTAGTAGTAGTAGAAGTAGTAGCGGTAGTAGTGGTATTAGGAGTAGTAGTGGCAGTATTAGTAGTAGTAGTAGTAGTAGTCGTAGTAATAGTAGTGGTAGTCGTAGTAGTAGAATTAGGAGTAGCAGTAGGGGTAGAAGTAGTAGTAGTAGTAGTAGTAGTAATGGTAGTAGTAGTAGTAGTAGTAGTAGTAGTAGTAGTAGAAGCAGTAGCGGTAGTAGTAGTAGTAGTAGGAGTAGTAGTGGTAGTAGTAGTAGTAGTAGTAGTAGTAGTAGTAGTGGTAGTAGTA